GGTTGAAACGACGCTGCTGTGCTGATGTCCATTCGCCTTCTCYCATTTCAATTCCTTGCAACCTGTCACGTATTCCCGTTCACTGTCAACCTTTGTGTACCACTGCACAAAAGCGCACTTGTGTTCCACATTACCGCCGTCTGTGGGTGCATTGACGACGAAAAACATGGCCACTGATGCGAACCACGTATATTCGTTGGCTGATCTTATTGCGACGTCGCTGTGCACTGGTTTCCCATGGAACCGCGACGATGCTCGTGCAGTTTGAACAAGTGTGCCCCTGTTTGTTCCGTTCTGCGTGCAAGCGATGGCGAGATGTGTTCGTGTGTGTATAGCGAGATCATCAGGAGGAGGTTGACAACCATTCTCTGCCATGTACGTCGTAATCGCTGCTCGAAAATCGGTTATGAAAGGGAGCTCTTCAAGTATCTTACACGCATGACTGTCAATGTCTTCCACCTCGCATATCTGGTCGTGATCGATGTCGAACCAGCGCAGTTGAAGGATTGACGTATCGCGTAGTGCCAGGGTGTTCATCCCCGTTGCCATACAGTCCGTCATAGAAGACCTATTCTCGACGGCCCTCTTCCTCCTTTTCCTCACAAATCCGGTCTCCTCCTGCGACGCCAGCAACCGGCGCATGTGGTTGACCATCTGGGTTGACGCTTTCCTTTTGTTCGATGACATGTACGGTTGTTTGCAAAATCTCCTGTGGTGATGCTCCCAAACATATGCATCGAATGTGTCGGCCACTCCAGATCGCTCAATACTCGTTCTCATATGCATAAGATCATGCAACTTCGGGAGTTTCCAATTTGATGGTTGGTATCTTCCCAATTTCGCTTTGATGGTCGTTACGAAGTCCGTCATCAACGCGTCACTTTCGTCGAGGGAAGCTCGAGTGTGTGTTGTGCGCCGAAACAACCGTACGTACATTTGCATCAGCTTAACAAAACAAGCGGTAATGCCTTTGCCTGTCGAGCGCGAGATTATATTAAAAATGAGGAACACGCACACTATCATCACAGACCGGTTTTGCTTCGCCTCGAAGCGTCTCTCTCGAGAAAAAAAATCACTGCCTGTGGTGACGGGCAGCACAAATTGGGGATATGTTCCCTGCATCTCTCACTAACGCATTGCAATCTCGCATCGAGTTTCTTCAGGATCTCTGTTTGCGGTGTTTTCGGCAACTTCTCAAAGGCTGCCGCCCTGAATGCGTCGATCATGTGCAGGAATATGCCGTGTTCGATCGTGTGCATACGGTGTGGTTGCAATGCGAGGTGGTAGTCTAGCTGAGGATCATCGCCACTCGGCCCCCTGTAGAACCCCCAAATACCGTTCTGTTCAACATGCCTATGCATGTCCAACTCTGCCATTCGCCCTTCCGCCGCACGGCGCACGTCATCGTCATCCACCGTGAACACAGCTGTTGCGAGTTGAGTTTCCAGCGTCTGGGATCTCCTGCTGTCCGTAAAATCGGCCACGACATCGAGGTTCGTTTTCGACACGGTGCATGTAGGGCATACACCAAACTTCACATTCGCCAGCGCACATCGCTCTGGGTAGTCCTGTATATAGTTGAGGAGGAAAGGGTGGACAGTCACGTCCCCGAATCGCGTCGACGATATCGTGATGCCGTCGTGCGATGCCTCCTTCGCAGCTTGCAAGACCGTCGAAAGGGCCTTATGGAAGATGACGGCCTTTCGCTTCCTGAATGCGGTGGACTGTAGACCCCATCCTTTGTCACGGGGTCGATGATGAAGCACGGGAAGATAGGCCAGCAGAGTGGCTTCCGATGCGTGGTCGGCTAGCGACATCATAAGAGGGTATGCCGTATGTTTCTGACGACCGTTTGTGTGTGTCTTGTCGGAGTACAGTGAGAGAGGGATTACATATCGTGAATATCCATTCTCGTCGACACCTTTGTGCGCTCGAATGATTGACTGCGTGTGATAACTGAGCGCCCCGCTGCGCGGACCGGATACGCTGTTGTCCTCCGACGGCGGGGCACCTCGAGGGAACGAACCGTCTCGCATTTCTGCAACGCGACGTGCATTATCGATAAGAATGCAGTTCGCCAATCGCAGTGCCACAAGACGGCGTGCGCTTCTCGAGGCCAGTCGTCTTTACGCAGATCCAACTCCTTCCACCCAGCGGCCTCTTTTAGACTGCCCGCCCATGCGAAGCACTCTCGACTGTTGCGGTACGCAATGTCCGTCGCGCTGAATCTCGGGTCTTTGAGAAGTGACAAGAGAGCATCAACGTCCGTATGTGACATACCGACGCCGCCCCTGGCGGTGAAAATAAGCGCTGCTAGCCTGCGCGAGCTGTCAAAAGGCTCGACGGGTTGCGCTGTCGGCTCTGCGTTATCACCGGCTGCCCCATTCGCGTCGTCCTCCGCCCCCGCCTCCTCGCTCTCATCACCAGCGAGATTGGCTGCGCCTATGTTGGATGGTCCTGGGTCGTGGGCAGCATCATTCTCCTGCCTTTGCGCCCCCTCATCCGCCACGGCGGGGCATGCCCTTGCACGATGCGAGTTTAAAGTCCGTAAGGACATGAAAGGTCTGCCGCAGTCGCACACCCGTGGACCGCTGTCCATTTCCTGTGCACGCAGTGCATTCCAAAGACAAACAGAGCGAAGCGGACAGTGCTTCGTTACCATTTTAGACATATGGTCGGGTCATGTGCACTACATAATGCTGACCATGTTTTCTTATGCAGTGTGAGTGTTGCACGTTGTGGAAAATGCGTCTAAGCATGTGTTTTCCACGTATCCGTCGTAATTAGTGAGATTGCCCATACGAGCCAAGCTCTGACTCACTTTCCCGAACGTGTACACTACCTTCAAGATAGAGACTTGAGATCGGGCGAGCAG